CTTCGAAGATCTAATATAGGAAGTAGAATATATTATAAGCTACCGATATAACAGCCGACGAAGGTTATATCTTATAAAATAGAAGGATTACCTTAATAACGAAAATACTTATTAAAAGAAATCGGATTTTATAAACTTCGCCTATATTAAGGATTATAAGTAATACTTACGCGGCGATATCGTAGTAACTTTATAAAAAGAGAGCTATCTTCCGCTCACCCTTAATATCCACTCGCGATATACTATACCTTGTAACTCCCCTATTTTTGTCTGCACGTAAGATGGTAATGTAGATGGTATCAGGAGACTACTCAGATCGGGCACAGCCTCTTTCAACGACGTCGATCCATATGGCCTAGGGCTGCTCTACGTAGAGACCCCCCCCACCTTGCTATACGAGACTAAATCTGACTTCGCACTAGTATATTGCTTACTATTGCTGGAGAGCATGCGGAAAAGACTTAGCTATTAGAATATCCTAGTTCTTGATCGATATAGGTGCTTATCTTGAGTAGGAGGATAAGATTAGTAAGTGCGTATGGTGATATATCTATGTCGAGATTGTGCTAATGTGATTAAGCACGCCGATGGAAACGATAATTGACGATACGATCGTCTCCTTGGCTATAAACTATAGAGATCCTCGTCCGCCTAACTTATGTGATTTTGTTTATATTTCTCTGCTATTCGATATCCCTACTATAGATATTATTGACGACCTTATGGACGATCGTAAGTTCACAATAATACACTAAGTTATGTTAAGTATCCGTCGCGACCTGGGCACTTTAGACTAATTTTTATCCCGATTTTGTCGGGACCTAGCTAATACTAAGATAATTAAAACGCCCGATGCTCGCGGCAGATTATTACTATCCTAGGCGGTCGAATATAGGTGGGAGAACTTTATAAGGACTTTACTCTAATTCGGTGCGAATCCACACCAGACTCGACAGTCTTTATATAGAAAACCCCCCCTTCTATATCTAGCTATTGCTAGTCTAGCCTTAAATAGTCTAGAAAATTTTACTATCCGGACGGTTTAGCTTTTATTATAAGCGGGAGTTAACGTTAATAGTGTTAATCACGAGGGGTGGATACTATTATATATAGCCGCTTCGTGGAATAATTACGGTGTTATTAAGGCGTTGGCTGCCTACGGTGGCTATTCCTTACTATAGAACGCACTCACCGATAACGGTGAGTCCGCTATAGACCTGGCGCTAGACGGCGGGTTTAATACGTAGGTCTAGAGAATCCTATTGAAATATAAAGACGTTGGTGCAGATATAGAGCCGAGTGAGTATCTAAGCGAGTGCGATTCGGATGAATTTGTGGATTGCGTTAAATAAGTGGTAATATACACGGATTTCGTGAGCGCGAGCCTCTTTTCAAGTATATTATCGGCTCAGCTAGGAGCTAAAGCAAGAAGGCTGACGTGATCCCCTGCCTCGTTTTACATATACTCCTGAACTATCTTCACTCTATCTTCAGACAAGATGTCATCGCTGTGAAACGGGCCATGCCTCATAGGTCTATCTCGATAGCTATCTATTATATAGAGTGCACTATCCCGGCTTGATTTTATAAAACAGATGTAATAAAAATCTACCCGGTCCTCGGGGTTTTGTGGTGCCTTTATATCCCCTAGAACTACTACTGACCGATAGATAGACTCTAGCTTCTCGTTATTCTCTAGGACGGTGGCGCGGTCTAGCGAAGGCAACCGAGCGCACTGCTTAAGCAAGCGATATATATAAGAGTCGGGGCCTGTGCAATAGATCGTAAAACGATAAATCAGTGGTATTATACCTTAGGTGACCGACGGTGAGACTGATATATGAGGTTCTTGGCTTATCTATTAGCAATAGCATATAGGATAGCGTAGAGTCCGTATGCGTTATTAATAGTCTGCTTAAACTATATCGGATCGTCATCGTCGCCTTACGGCTCGTGTTCTGACTCTGATATATTAGTCCGGGCTAAACGGTCGTCGTAGTTTTCTAGAGTAGGAAACACGAGAATAAGAGCGAGGGCTAGCCGGGGAATAAACGCAGTAACCTTTGGGTCGCTTAGAGATAGGACGTCATAAAAACAAACCGATTCTAAGACGCCTAGCTTATAAATCAGTCTACTGAAGATCTCTAGGTTAGACTCTAGCGTAATAAAGTGCTTATTATACGCTATCTTAGTATATGTGATGTTAGGTAAATAATATGGTCGGTAGAGCGGGGTCCTCGGTCTTACTATCGGCGTGTATCTATGTGAGTCACATAGTAATAGAGCACTATAGGATAGGCCTCAGGCACAGCCCGATCTCTTGACCTTTGCACCACGTTATCGAGTGCATAACCTAAAACGATGTGATCTATGTGTCGCGATCATAGATCCTGCTCTCTAATTCCTTTAATTCATTTGTTAATATCTATTGGGCGGAGGCCAAGACCGAGATAAGGAGCTGTCAGCTTGTGAGGCTGCTTGTACTCGGATACGTGTATTATGGTGCGCTTTGATGGGTGTGGGTGCGCATTTCCGCGCACTCCTGATCCTCCAAGCAAACCAGATGCGAGACCATGAAAAGTGACTATCCGCAGCGGCTGTCACTGACGATTACTTTTTCTGGCAGTTCACCTGCGGCTGAGCATGAGATCCAATAAGCGCGACGGCTGGTGTGGAAAGGCGTTCAGCGGCAAAAGAGGGGTTTAATATAAAAATAGTCCCTCGTGATCCCGCCAAGTTCATCCCTACGGACCAGTCCACCTGGGACTGTATGCTTTTTGAACATTCTATTGCGTGGCTACGGGATCCTCTTTTCATATCACGATTAGTCCAGCCTTAGCCGTTGTAATACCCTCAACTTATCCAATTCGAGCTACTGATCTACAATTTGCTTCTGACAATCAGCGACGCGAGATTCCGATCAGCTGATTGAAATTATAAAGCAATCATTCTACACAAGGAGGACCTACGCCATGGAATACTTAATTAACGGCGCAAAGGCAGCTCTCCAAGATGAACAGCGAGTCCCGACATACCATGACAATGTCTTTCAAGGGAGGGATTTCCACCTCGTGATACATCAAATCCGGAGCAACCAAGGACAAGATAGCCATAGCTCATCAGATATACAAAGTCCGAGTACTCTGGAATCGCACTTAAGCGTTACAGACATACCTCCTCTATTCTAGCTCTTTAAAATCTATTGCATAGAGCCTACCTAGCTTATTAAGCTTCTCGACTTATGCAATATCCATCCAGCCGCTCTTCTCCTCCTTAACTCGGGACCTTTCCACTTCCAGCATTTCCACAAGTCCACGAGCTCCCACCAGCGATACCTCTCTTTTAGACTGGCCTACAACGTGGCGACGATACTCTAGAGCTGCGACCTCGACACACGCAACATTCGCGTGGTAGGTATCGGCGAGGAGAGCCGACCATTCAGCGAGGCCGACGTAATCCGGTTAAAGAGCGACCTAATACATCCTCTAGCGCCGGGCCTCCTGGCACTCCAGGTACATCTAGAGAAGACACACGGCCTTATCCGCCAGCTCGTCAAACGACTAAGGGATATCGAGGCGCAGATTGGCCATCGTGCTGAGAATCAACTTACTGCCCAGATTAACTTTAAGCGATTCGAGGATCTAGATCTGGGGTTCTTGTCTCGTCCTCTAAGTAATCTCCACTACGAGGCTCTGTCGTATAAGAGGACGTTTAGTACGGTCCACGGCATAATCTTCGAGATAAAGCTGGCTTACGACATAGATGTTATTCGAAGGACAGCCATTATTAACGAGGACTGCCGCACTACGTTTAAGACAAGTCTGCTTTGGCGGTTCAAGTCGACCGAGTCGCTGCAGGAGCAGATAAAGTATCTCCTCGACCGAGTGCGCGTCCAGAGTGAAATAGTGCGTCATACCACATTCTGGCCGAGATATTCTAACACTGACAGGTATCGAACCTAAGAGCACACCAGGACGCACAGCGTGGAATCTGGCTAGCGAGCCAGTCGGCGGCTATAGCTAAGGCGGCCAAGCAGGATAGCTTCTCCATAGCGACGGTGGCGCTAATAACCATAGCGCTCCTCCCGGCGACTTTCTTTACGGCGCTATTTTCGATACCCCTGTTCAAGTAGGACGAGGCCTCCGTCCTACAGAGCCGGTTCCGGGTCTACTTGGCGTTTACGCTGCCGAGCACGCTCGTCGTATTTATGCTCTGGGGGGTCTTGACTCGGAACTAGATTAAGAAGGGAGCTAGGCTAGGGAGGGCTCTATTAACTCGGCTGTCTCCTAGTAAGAAATCTTAAAGAAGGCTATTAGATTTATCATTATTACATATACAGAGTTATACAAGACCAAGGTCCAACTACCATCCTCCCCCCAACCATAAAAGCACTAGAACCAGAAGCATAAGCGACGCTAATAGTGAATCCGTCTTCGGGGCCTGGGCTGTCGGAACAGAATCAGTTGAACTTCCGCCAGACTCTTGGGGCTCAGTAGCAGTCGTAGTGCACGATCCCGTCGATACATCCGGCACAGAGTCAGTGAAGCATCCCATAGCTATCCCGACGGGCCACCGTAGGCTAGCCTTAAGTTAGGCGGGGGGGGGGGTTATATTACGGTTCTACTAGTTACTAGCGGCTGGGTATAAGACCTAGCCCGGTTTACCTAGGCACGTGACGCGTGCCCGCGAGGACGCACAGACCTCGTAGGGTCTTTATAGGAAAGGGGGACCGTAAATTCCCTCTTTTTTCTCTTTTCTTACCTTATCGTTAGATAGACTTAATCTGAGCTACCAAGTTGTTCCAACAGGGTCTAGCCCACAACACCTATTTTCAATGGATTCCCCTAATTTCAATAGTACTTGATAGTATGCGATATGCTAACTTTGGAAAACAAAAGATAAGAACACCAGCTATGAGCATCATTCGTTCCCCAAGCCCCCAACTGGGGTTGGAAAGCCAAAGCCAACTGTACCAGCTCTTTTCACAGCGGAACCGCCAATCACCTCCTGTTTGTCCAACGCATGACAACAACTTGCTGCACAGCCAATCCAGCTACAACAGCATAGAACCATGGCGCAAACGCAAGAGCCCCTGAGAGGGTCGCTGCTTCGGAAGCTATGACTGGTGTCTCCTGCGCAGGTCCCGGATTAGAGTCCTGCGTAGGAATCAGAGTCACGTGCTTAGCAGTCGTCTCATGCGATCCAGGCTCTTCGTAATCATAAATTATAATCTCCTCCTTTTTCTATTTTTCTGATGTCAGTTGCTTGTTCAGAGATAATGAGATGATGGCAAAGTAGCGCTTACTGCAGGGCTTGTCTTCTTGGACAGCATCTCCGTCCTCGTCATAATCAAAGGCTCACACTGCTGACATCTAGACGTAGTCAAGACCCGCGTCGTGATGGTCGGGAACTGGCAAGCATGACAGTCGAGTAGATGTTTATATTCCGGTGGGCAGTCATGACCGTTGCAACATCCAACTGCCTCGCCGAGAGCGGTAGCGACAGGTCGTACGGCTGTGCCAAAACCGGTGGATATGTGCCAATTCGCCCACTGGGGGTTCTCAGCGTAGGTTGAGATACGCGAGGAGTCGATCAGGCTGACTGGTCTTTCTCCCAGATATCCAGGACTGGAACCAGCAGCACCAGTAGGTCGGAGAACAAGGGTGGTTGGAGGAAACGTCGTTAGTTCACCGTCGGGTCCAACAACCGGCGGAGGAATGAAGACAATTGGACCCGTTGGATTGGGCATGGGAGGAAATTTGGTCAACTCGCCATCAGGTCCAACGATGGGCGCAGGAATAATGACATCAGAGCCCGTCGAGTTGGCTATGGGGGAGTCTCCAGTCGGGAGTGGCTCAGGCTGCTGACCAGGAGGAAGTGTCTCACTAGCGTCCAGGTCTTTCGGCAGAACTTGGCTGGTGGGAAGATCCTCAGGTGTTGATGGGTCGTCAATGATTGGATTATCTTCCCTTAGATTTTCGGCAGTCGGGTCAGGAGATGTTGGGTTGATAGTATTCGGAACCTCGTCGGTAGGTACTTCGACTGTCATCGGATCCCCTTCGATCGTGTCCACAACAATCGGGGTCTCCGTGGCTGGCAGCTCGGACGGGGTGAAGTCTTCCGTCGCGATAGGAACAGGCTCGTCCGTATCCGTGGCCGTGGTCTCCACTAGAGTCACATCCACTGGTGTCGTCTCGACAGGTTCAGTCGCAGTCACATCGGGGTCGGTCGGCTCGGGATCAGGCTCAGTGGCAGTTGGCTCTGGGGGAGGGCACGCCGCTGGTTCGCCGTTCTCGTCGAGTTCCTGGTCTGGGTTTGCGACGTCTGGACAGACTGTTGAAGCGCTATTGTTAGTGAGGTGTTCCCTATTCACCACGATGAGAAGCGAGGAAACATACTGTCGCACGGGTCACCAATACCGTCCCCGTCGGTGTCTAATTGAGCAGGATTGGCCACGTCGGGACAGTCTATTCATCGTGCGTTAGCAATTGCCTCATTCTCTCACAGGATATCTTCGACTTCAGAACGATCCTTACTATCATCACTGTCGCAGATTCCGTCGCCGTCAGTGTCACCACCCTGAGTCTCACAACCCAGGTTGATGATACCAGAAGTACAGTCTCCTGTGCAAGCTAAAATTTTGAACAGGCCAGCGCTGTCAAAGGCACCGTCACCTCCATCGCAGACTCCAATCTCGATAGTGTGCTCTCTGAGTGTTGTAGGAAAGTTAGCCTGCAGGACTGGGGTGGACCCGCGGAAGTCGTTGCCTGTGAGAATCTACGTTAGTCGACGGCCAGCATGGTAGGAGGGCGCCTAGACTGACCGGAATCGCTCGGGAGGAGAACATTAGGACCACTAAAGAAGGGTCCGTTAATAGTAATGGGGGCACCCGTGGTATCAATCGCGATCTGCTCGCCGTCGATCAAGATGTATAACACATCATTGAAGCCGCTACCCACGTACTCGGGATATTCTTGACCAAAGTTAGATATCGAGCCGTCACTTTGAATGTTTGAATGATATACCTTCAGACGCGAACTGGAAGTACGCTGAAAACCCCGCCAAAGCTGGATCAAGCAGGACGTTGATAGTCAGAACAGTTGCGTCAAAGGTAGTCAAGCCAGCTAAGTCGTTGCATATGGCGTTGCCCGGTTGGTTCAATTGGACACTGGCCACCTCAGTGGAGGCGCCCTTGGTCGCCGGCGAAGTTGCATCTCCAGAGGATAGGACGAGGCCGGCGTTCAGGACTTCGCTTGGTCCATTGGTGAAGAGACCGGCACCAACGCTGCCGCCTACGAACGATGCGGAGACAACGTCTATTCCTGGGCCGAAGAGGCCGTTAGCCAGATCAATGGGATTGATGACATTGGCGATCTGTAGATCCGAGGTCGCCATGGTCCGCGATTCACGCGCTGGGAGGCTGTTGAGACACCTGGAGGTTAACGAAGAAGAAAACCCGAAGAAAACGGATGCAGTGTGAAGGACCGTGTTTCTCGAGACAAGGTGCGTGCTAAGTACTGCTTAAGAGGCTTTCTGGGCCGAAGACACAGTCGCCAATGAGAACCACTATTTCCCCTTCAGATTTTGGCTTCGACCGCATATCTGGGTCAAAACATCCTGCCAATTAAAGCCCAGAGGCACTAAACATTCCATCGCGTCGGTGGGAAATGGCGGTATCTGAGATGCGGCATGTACCAGCCGACCCCAGAAGACACGATCCGTCGCCAGTGGAGTGCCAGACGCATCAGGCGCTGGCATGTACAATGGGCGCCTGCCATGTCCAGGGAAATGCATGTGTGGTGTCAACTCTGCAGATATTTTTTTTGTGTTGTGCTGACAATCGTCTTGGAGAGTCCTGCATCCACATCTGACCGCGGTCCGCTATCATCTACTGTGAGTAGCATTAACACTGTCATTAACCCTGGAGAACCCATTTTGTTGAGATGTCACTCACTAAACAAAGCTACATTCTACGATGCTAAACGAGATTCGCCGTATGAGACTCTTTTCCTTGGCATGCCATCTTCGCTAGCTACTAAAGGAGTTGAACATTACATTTCAGATCAGTGTCTCATCAAAGAGCAATCCAGCTGAAGTCGGTCGCATACCATCTTCGCTAGTCGCTGTAGGAGTTTCAGATTATGTTTCAGATCAGTGTCTCATTGAAAGCATTCTAGCCGAAGTTAGTCGCTTCTCATTGGTACGCGCACTTTGGATCCGATCGATGCTTAGCTAGGCAGCTTTGGAACTCTGTGTGATAAGTGCAAGCCTAGCGATAATGACCCGCGCCTTTTCGCGACGGAAAGGAGATCCCTGCGCGGCCAACGAGGTATCAAATTGCGGGTTGGGCATCACGAGGATTTATGCACGTCGTCTTGCCATGTAACTTCTTTCATCGAACCGTTGGAACTTGACGCCATACGACGCAGAGCTCGGTCAACAAACAGATCCACTTTTCAATAGACGGACCGCGGGGGTTGAGTCAAGGATGGAGGCGAGGTCGAAAGGGCAAGTGGTGGCTGCGGAGAGTGTGCATCTGCCTCGTAGATGTAGATGGGCCTTGTCGTTGGAACAACCAAGTCCTTGGCCTCGGCCTGCTGCTGACCGACAGAGGTATGATCCGTGGTGGCCGGCGTACTCGTCGTGCTCTTCTTTCTCCGTCGCATGTAGAAGACTATGTAACCCCCAATAGCGAGAGCTAGGAGGAGAATTCCAAGGACGATCGCCGCAATGATCCCGGGATGCAGCGAGTTATCGCCTGTTCCTTCTGGAACCTCAACTTGGGTCTCTTCAGGGGGCGGATCATCCTCAGTCTCGGTAGGAACCAGCGTACTCATCGTTTGGCTTCCTATAAAATAGGGCGCGCAGTACTCTCTAGTATAAACTCGCCCGTGTACATGTCTGCCGCATCTCCATCAGTTTATTTGCACGTGTAACGTGAAAGAACACCCAACTGCCAGTTCATTAGGGCCACAACGCTCGAACGCTATGTAAGTGTAAGAATTCGAGACGGCCACTATGTGGCTATTGCAAATTTCGAGGCTGCCCGTGCACTGACAGCTCAGGTCCTCTAGTGGGCACCCGATATCGTCGAGCAATGCGACGTAACAATCGCGCATGCATTCTGGTATAAGGTCAAGGTCTCCTATCTTTGCATACTGTTCGGACTCCAGAATGTGTGCCAGCTCAATGGGGATGAATGATGATGAAGAAGCAAGAGGTCAGCTCAGCGATCGCAGGTGGTGGCAGACCGCGCGGTCGTCAAGGCACGTCTGCCCATGATGGGGGCTGAAAGCCTCCTGCGAGGGCAGCCAAAGTACATGTAGTCTTCCCAATGGTTTTTATTCGGGGCGAAGCTAGACCGCGAACGTTTCCTTGCGTCGTGATGCGGGAAAGGGGAGCTGTTACCTGTGTACATCTGGTGTCTGCGGATACCGGTACTCACAGAGTCACATTCGGTACCCCCTGGCAGCTGAGCTTTAATGTCTCACCATACCCCTTTTTTGCATCTTCAGCTTGGGGTAATGGGGCAGCTTGACTGGTCGAGAAGAATAATATAGCTGAAGAAAGCGGAGATGCAGCAGCGCCACACCGCAACCGTGTCTTATTGTAGCCGCCTGGTAAAGTCACCTATTTATCAAAGAGGACTACAAGTCAGCGTGAGGGAGACTCCCGCAAGGGTGAGCAAGCCTGCGAAGGGCTGCGGGGGCACTGGTGACTGGGGGGGGGGGGGGGGGGGGGGGGGGGGGGGGGGGGGGGGGGGGGGGGGGGGGGGGGGGGGGGGGGGGGGGGG